GCACTACTGGGCATATACCTTGAGGAAACCAGAACTGAAAGAGACACATGTACCCCAATGTTCACGGCAGGGCTATTTACAAGAGAGGCATGGAAGCAACCGAAGTGTCCACCAACAGATGAATGGACACAGACGATGTGGCACAAATACACAATGGAGTATTACTCAGACATAAAAAGGAACAAAATTTTTTTAAAAATTAAAAAAAAAAAAGGAACAAAATTAGGTCATTTGTAGAGATCTGGATGGACACATAGTCTTTCCTACAGAGTCAAGTAAATCAGAAAGAGAAAAACAAGTATCGTATATTAAGGCAGGTATGTGGAAATCTAGAAAAATGGCGAATGAACTTAGTTCCAGGAGAGGAAAAGAGAGGCAGCTGTAGAGAATGGACACGTGGACACAGTGGGAGAAGGCGAGTGTGGGATGAACTGGAAAATTATGATTGACATATATACGCTATGATATGTACAGATATCACAGTGGGAGATAGCGCAGTGGGAGCCTGCCATTATAGCAAGAACTCAGCTGATTGCTGTGCAATGAATGACCTAGATGGATGGCATAGAGCAGGTGGGTGGTGGGAAGGAGGCCCATGAGGGACGGTCTACATGTATACACAGAGCTGATTCACATCTCTGAACAGCAGAAACTAACACACATTGTAAAGGAATTACACTCCAATTAAAAAAAAAATGTTTATCTGAAACCAATCACTTCCTTCACCCTCCAAGAACCTGCACGGGCTGGAGAGCACTGAGTCTCCTCTGAGACCCCCCAGAGGAGCTGAGACCCAGCAGCTCACCTCCCCCAGCTTCTGCACCTTGTCGGCAGTGAGCCTAAGGCAGCCTGAAGCGTCCCTGCCAACCGGCTGGTCACCAAACTAACTCAAGTCCCTGAGAGTGAAAGCACTGGAGATGTACACTCTATTGGATCCCTAAGGTTTCCTTTTCACAGTCTGAGGAAGGAGCCTCACAGTTCTCCTGGGCTGATGTAATTTACACTGTGCGTTTGAGTCATCTCAAATATTGCTGTCAGCTTATAGACTTAGGGAAGACAGCTAGTATTAAGTAGTTCAAGATTAACTTGTTTAAAATGACATTCAGTTTCAAAGTTAACAGGACCATCTTAATGAGGCTTTTTTTTTTTGTCACTGTTAACACAATAGACATAGAAAGAAACTGGGCTCTGAAAACTTAATTCTGAACCTCACAGGCTCTAACCTTCACTCTGCTATAAACAGGCGCCCTGTATCCTACAACATCAACACTGATCTGGTCCAGCTGCCAGTCTGTTCTAGCAGTTTGCTGAATCGGAACAGAAAGTTATGGAGACAGAGATTAGAAGGGAAGTTCCAAAACTTCCTCGGAGCTGATCAATTTTACCCAGCTTCAGAGAACATACATTATTGAGGCAGGAGACAGTTGGACTCTAGAACAGACATTTACAACTGGCCCTTTGACACGGGGCGGGGGAGGAAAAGATAGGCTCCAGGCCAGACACTCCCAGCCCTCTGCTTACATATCCTAAGGCAAGAGACAGATGGGCTTTGGGCTAGGTATTTATGACCAGACTGCTGTCTACATTTCAAGATCTGCTCTTGGATATAAAAACAGCAGGAATACAGTGGATAACCAGACCTTATGGGTTATCCACTGGGTACCTTATGGCAGGAACAGAGAGTGGCTAAACTCTGTTAGAAGATCAAGAGGTCATACATTTCCCATTCTTAGGGCAAAGGAAACACTGCTGCTGCTAAGTCGCTCCAGTCGTGTCCGACTCTGTGCGACCCCATAGACGGCAGCCCACCAGGCTCCCCCATCCCTGGGATTCTCCAGGCAAGAACTCTGGAGTGCGTTGCCATTTCCTTCTCCAATGCGTGAAAGTGAAAGTGAAGTCGCTCAGTCCTGTCCGACTCTGAGCAACCCCATGGACCCCAGCCTACCAGGCTCCTCCTTCCATGGGATTTTCCAGGCAAGAGTACTGGAGTGGGGTGCCATCGCCTTCTCCGAAAGGATACTACATATGTGCAAAGGCTTCAAGGGGCCAAAAAAGGCAGGGATGTCAGACCACAGTAAGTTTTGCTACTCCCCCCACCATATGCCTCTGTGATGAAATCCATCTTGACTGAAGGGTGCAGGCACACCCAGGGGAGGGTCCTGAGACCAACTGACTGAGGGGTGGAGAGTAGGAGCAGGTAGGGGTGTCAAAACAAGACAACGGGCCAAAGGTGAACAAAGAGCAGGAGTGAAAGTCGCCCAGTGGAGCCCGACTCTGCGACCCCATGGACTGTAGCCCGCCAGGCTCCTCTGTCCATGGGATTCTCCAGGCAACAATACTGGAGTGGGTTGCCACGCCCTTGTCCAGGGGATCTTCCCAACCCAGGGATCAAACCCTCATTGCAGGCAGCTTCTTTACCATCTTCACCACCAGCACTGTCCTAATAAATGACTTAACCACCTCGCAAAGTCGGACACGACTGAGAGACTGAACGAACCATCTTTTTACTGTGTCCTCATCAGAGAGGACATGCCCACACTCTTTCTCTGCAGTGTGCATCTCTGACCTGCTTCTATCTTAACAGTCTCTCTGTGTTCACTCCCATTTGTAGTTGTGCTATGTCTCTAATAATAAACTTTGTACCTGCATTTACAGTTTTCGCCTCCATGAAAAATGCATTTTTCACTAGGGGCAAGAGTCAGGGAAAAACAGGTTTGAGCCTCTAGCCCTTACTGGTCTGGAAGCTAGGATTCCTGGTTTTCATCAAGGCTACCCAGATTCAATTCCTGGGCAGGGAATTACAATCTCACTTCACGCCACAGCTCACTGCTGCCTCTCCGAGATCATTATGATCCTGTCACAGTCATTTTAAATTGTATGTGCCCAACAGACCAGCTTTCAGGAAGGGTGCACAGTATCATTATACTGCATAATGTGAAGAGCCAGCTCACTGGAAAAGACCCTGATGCTGGGAAAGACTGAGGGCAGGAGGAGAAGGAGAAGACAGAGGGTGAGACGGTTGGATGGCATCACTGACTCAAAGGACATGAGTTTGAGCAAGCTCCAGGAGATGGTGAAGGACAGGGAAGCCTGGGATGCTGCAGTCCATGAGGTAGCAAAGAGTCGGACACAACTTAGCAACTGAATGGCATACTGCATGAATACAAATAAACTGGTTTTGTTGACGTGGAGAAAATAAATCTTAGTGAGGGAGATACTCTATACACGATTTATAAGTTCCTGTTCATCTGCAATTATTCTCAGAAATGGGGCAGACTCTTGACCTCTCCTCCCTTCTCCTTGTCTGTGATTTATGCAGTTTTCCTCTCCATCATAATGTAACCATGTCTTTGCTCAAACCAGTTTTTTACAAAACCAATCAATCATACTTTTTCCTCCACACCTTAACCTGAGAACGCCTCCAGTTACCATTTGTTGATGGCTTGGCACATGAGATAACTTTATCTCACTCTGCTCCACAGGCCCTTTGAGACAGAGAAAGTGCAAGGGGCTTATCTAAGGTCGGTGCCTTGGAGTTGGTACCGAAAGGCCCGGTTCTGCCTGCAGATTGCAAAGTCCGTGCACTCCCGTGGTTTAACATGGTAAGACCACTCCCACCAGGGAGAGACCAGAAACCTTTCTAAACCAAGTGCTCACTTCTCCAAACCTCTTCAGTATCTAATGTCGTCATCTTCATTCACTGCAGTATCTGTGACCATCTACCCATATTCCTTATCAAGGGCTGGTTTAATAATCCTACCTGCAGTGACTCATGTCAGGCCTGGAATACACAGGAAAAGGAGCAATGTGGACAAAGAAATGGGAGCAAGTCGGGAGAGGAAGGAAACCATTACAGGAGTGGCAGGGGATGTGCAGTGACTAGCAGTGCCTCAAGCATCCAGCCCTCCTTCCCGAACCCCTCCCCCCGGGTTCCAAGAGGGAAATGGTTGCAGGACCTCGTCAGGGTAACCCCACTTCCTGAACAACCGTGCTGACTTTTACAACGTGCCTCTGCGACGAGGCTTGTTTTATGGAGCAAAGAACAAAAAGCTCTGGGATAAAGGCACTTGTGGACTGACCGCCGGGCGAGTCAAACCACTCTCCACCTCCCTGTCCCGCCCTTTTTAAAACTATGGCCAGGCTCAGAGTTTCTAAACCGTATCGGTAATGTAATTATAAGTGACAGGGAAGAGCATCCTAAAGCATGTGTTCAGAAGCTGATTATTTTGTAGAGAAAAGTTGTTTGTGGTTTTAGTCGCTGTGTCCGACTCTTTGCGACCCCATGGACCTTAGCCGGCCAGGCCCCTCTGTCCGTGGGATTCTCCAGGCAAGAATACTGGGCTGGGTCGCCATGCCCTCCGTCGGGGGGGTCTGCCCGACCCAGGGAGCCGACTCAGGTCTCCTGCTTTAGCAGGCGGATTCTTTACCATCTGAGCCACCAGGGACCCCCAGAGAAAAGTTACCGTGGCCTTAAGTTAAACTCACAAATAATCGCAGGTTTCCCAGACGCAGGAGAACCATGCGGGGCTGTGCAGATGCCAAGGCCTGACTTGCGTCTCCAGTTTCCGTGCTGGCAAGCCCGGGGCTTCTCTCTGCCCGGCCGCCCCCGCGGGCTGCTCACGCTCCACTGTTACTACAGGCAACCACTTATTTTCACGTAGAAGGGAAAAAAATAAGGCCCAACAAGACCCAAAAGTTAACTTTTCTTATGACCAGGCGCAGTTAAAGTTCAAATTGCCACGACAGCTAGGAAGAGATCAGTGCCCGGAGGACAAAAGCGGCAGGGGCACTCCCCAGCGCCCAGCGCCGCCACCAGAGACCGCAAGGAGGCGGCGGCGAGGCCCCGGAGTTGTTTTTCCCGAGCCCAGAAGCCCCGCTGCGCCCACCCGACCTGAGCGCTTCCCTCCAAGACCCTCAACTTCTCCCGGCCGCCGAGCAAAGCCGGGGCAACCCGCGTCCCCACTCGCGCCCGCGCGCCCCGCTCGGCACCCGCCACCTACCCGCACCGCGAGCCGGGCGGAGCGCAGGCTCGGAGCTCATCGCAGCGGAGAGCGTAGCACCGACGCCCGGGCGGCCTCCGCTTCCTGAAGCCGGGCCGCTGCCCCCGCCCCTTCCTCCGCCCCCGCCGCCCCGGCTCCCGCCCTTCCCGCGGTGGAGGCGGGCTCGGGGGGTCGGGGGTTGCCCTTGGCTTCGCTCGGGGTTCGCAGCGGCCGGAGCGCCCGGGCACGGCAGAGGACGCGGTCTCGCCCGCCTGGCGCCTGGGGAGCCGAAGCCGGCCTTCGGGAGATGTCAGCAGCGACTCCGAAGACAAGCCGCGGTCCTGGGGTGGGAGGCTGCAGGCAACTACAGACCGCCTGCGGCGAGCCCCGGATCGCTGGAGCTCCGCCCCAGTCTCTGCTCCTCGCGCAGTTCAAAGGTGTGCGCTGCCGCGTTTCCCCCCTTTCCCAGTGCCGGTGACTTGTTCGGAGGACTTTAAAACGCTCTTTGTATAGCGGATCCGGGACTAAGTAAACTGGAGGCAACTCCAGAATTTCCAAGTCTGACTTTCATATGCAGTGTTAATTCTGGAAAGGAATCATGCAGAAATTCGGAGACCCGATTTTGGGCTCTGTAGATTATGACTTTTACTGAGCATGTTTGCTGCATTTAACTGAGCTCCTCTTCGGGTGGCTGGTTATTGTGTAAATTTGCTTCAACGAGTAACTCCTGACATTGGAAGAAAACGTGGCTTCATCTTTTCCAACTTCTCGTGGTCTCGTCATTTAAAAAGTAACCAATAGCAGACAGGGGGAAATGTGTTAAGACACGACTTCCAATATATTAGCCTAAGAGATCCGATTTCTATAAATGGGATTTCCCAGGTGGCGCTCAGTCGGTAAAGAATCTGCCTGCAGTGCAGGAGACCTGGGTTCGATCCCTGGGTCGGGAAGATCCCTTGGAGAAGGGAATAGCAACCCACTTTAGTATTCTTGTCTGGAAAATCCCATGAACAGAGGAGCTTGGCAGGCTACAGTCCATGCACTCGCAAGAGTCCGTCCGACACGACTTAGTGACTAAACCAACACCACAGGAGGCGCTAGTGGTAAATAACTGGCTGCCAATGCTGGAGATGCCAGAGACAAGGGTCAATCTCTGGGTCAGGAAGATCCCCTGGAGGTCAGGCAACCCACTCCAGTATTCCTGCCTGGAGAATCCCATGACCAGAGGAGCCTGGCAGGCTACGGTCCATAGGGTCCCCAAAAGTCAGACATGACTGAAGCAACTTAGCATTCATGCTTCTATAAATATCACTTTTTTATATGAGAGAGAAAAATAAAATCTAACTTCCTACATGTGCTGTGGTTCAAAAGAGCACACAGAATATGAAATCAAAGGATTTTACTCACCCCATGCCATTTACTGTTCTTTTTATTGTAGGCATAAAATATTTCTGAAATCACTTTGTTCCTAGTGCAGTGAAGACATGGAATGTCAGTATCTCCCTCATAAGCTGGTTGAGACAATTGAGTTAAATTACTGTATTCAGAACAGTGCCTGGCTTGTGAAAAGCTCAGTAAATTTTTATTGCCACCATCTTAAGCATATTGAAAGCAGACTTGGCCTTCTTTTGGTTTGACCATTACCAGGAAGTTGCATAGGATGTAAGAGGTACTCAATAAATATTTACCCACTGAATGAGATTCATAATTTCAGCATTTGTGCTCTGGACCTTACCCAGTTTGAATGAGTTAGCTGACCACCAGAGCTTCCTGTTCTTCTGCCTACTGTTCATGGTCTCCTCTACTTGAGCCCTAAAAATACTCCTTATACTGAAGTGGAACTCCAGTTGGCTAACCTTCCATGTACCTGAAAGGAACAGATGAAAGGAATTAAATTCCCCCCCCAGATGTTTGTTATCTCAGAATGCTGTATTGCCTTTATAGCATATGGGGTGATTTGTTTTAAAGATTTATTTACCTTAGGAAATGTAAGTATAAAGTATTAGGATAGCCATTTCAAAATTACAAGTGCTAAATTTTAGCCTTTTAAAGCAATAGCTATCCCCTCACCCTGACCCCATGAAAAAGGGTGTCTGTGATTGGGAAATAGGCTGCCAAGGTTCTAATCCTTGCTCTATCATTTATTGGCTGCGAGGCTTTGGACAATTAAGGCAGTTTAACCACTCCCAGCTTCAGATTCTTCTCTTTAAAATGGGGACCAAATTAATTCAATAGTTGAGACAGAAACTGCCAAACTCCTAGAATAGTACCCAGCCCATAGTAAGCTTTCAGTGTTATTTTTAGCTACTGAAGATTATCTAGACAGTTCTCAAACTGTGGCCTCTGAACCAGCAGTATCCACATCATCTGGGAACGTACTAGAAATGCAAACTCTTGGGACCGATACAGTTAGACATAATGGATGAGAAACTGCAGGTGGGGTCCAGGAGTATATTTTAACAAGTCCTCCAGTGACTCTGCAGCATGCTCTCATTTGAGACATAGACGGATTAGAATTCTACTGAGCAATCTCTTCCTTCTCAAAGAAGGAAAAAAAGAACTCATAGCAAATCCATATTATTAAAATAATTAAGATATACTAAAGACCAAAAGTTACCTGACAGCATGGCTTGATTCTTGCCATTATAAATAGTCACTTTTATGGAATTTACTGAAACTGAAGCTCTTAGTCAACTGTAACCTATCCAAGGAATGAAATATATCAGCTAAATTCAGAGATAATTCTAAAACTTAAAATGTGGCCTTTCTTGTTTGTGTTTACCCCCACTAAACCTTGTTTTTTTCCTATACAAATCATAGAAATACCGAATTTTTATAATTCTGATACCTATAATTGAGAGCCAGCAAAGAGAAACATTGTTAAGTGTCAGCAAGGAGACTGAAGGATGTTTTGGAAACCAAATTAAGCCTGAGACCAAACCAAAGCATAACATCACTGCAGCCTGCATGCAAAGATGACACTGTCGGTCTAGTTTTAATTATTTTGATTGTAACTATTCATCTAGTCCTTTTTCATATACTGGTTGAACCAATTCTCTGAGGAAAAACAGCAAACTAAGAGGGCCATTTCAAACATTAGAGCCAGGCGTTCTACAAGACTTGACTACATTGCGGGTAGTGTCTGTGAGCTGTGACCAATGCAACGTTATCTACGTGGAAGGATCCTTAGCTAATTGGTTTCATTCTACTCCCCAAAGTTAATAAAGCCAGTCTACTAAAAAGAGTTGTTTTTACAGAAACACTCCATTATCTTCACTTTGTTAGATGTTATTCCTGTTTTGTACATAAAATAATGACCATTTTGACCTAATAATCTTGCACTTCTACCGATACTGACAGAAATAGCACTTTTTCACTTTAGGGAGAAGTAGTTTTAAGCTAACAAAGCAACCTTTTAATTAGTACTACTAGTCTATTCTGGGGGGTCACTGAAGAAAGCCTGCTTAAGAAGATGGGTTTAATTTGCTTTTGCCCTTGTATTTTAATTGTCTTCATTGCAACTTCTTTGTACCTCGGTTTCTCCACCTATGAAATGAGTACAGCCATATCTGTCCCTGGAAGAGGTGAGTCAAAAGACTTTAAAAAGACAGGCATTGTTTGAAGGCAATATAGTTTTATTATTTTAAAATATCAATATATGTCTTGCAAAGAGCCGCAAAAGCTAGTTTTTTGGCATGTGATTTTGTTTTTTCATTAATGCATTCTGTAGATAAGGAAAATACCATCCTTAAAACTTAAATATATGCCCTGTTGTATAGAATTCAAGCGAAGACAGCTTAATATATATACACATAAGTAATTACAGATATGTACATGTACATGGGTTAGTATACATATATTTCCTAGCTCTGTTTGGTGGGAGGGTCTCAAAGCAATGACACCCCAGTAGAAACAAGCTATCCACTTTCCAGATCTTGGTTTCTAAGGGCCATTGGACACCATACTTCAATCAAAGTAACCTTTGAAAAGATGCTGATTCTAGGTCTGGGCCGGGGAATACAGAAGATGAGCCTGAAGCAACTTTCCTACTTTCTGGCCAGAAAGTATGGAGATGCTCAAGAGTTAAAAGGAGGGTGAAGGTCAAAGACATACAGAGTCAATCTGACATAATTCCCAACAGCCAAGCTGGAAGGATTTGTATATATTACCCAGAGTACAAAAGAAATAAGCATGAATCCATACTGATAAAAATAATTGAATAATAAGTGAGTGAAGGGGAGATTAACAAGAATTTCAAATAGTATATCTAGATATAATTCCCTATCAAAATGTGGAATGTAATCTTGCCCATCCCCCACCTACCACAGTCAGGACTTGGTGACTGGTTTCCAAAGAACAGAAGCACAGGAAGGGAAAAACAGTAACTTTAGAGTGGAGAAAACTAACAGATACTACCTTAACCAAATGCCTAGAGTTAACTTAATAAGCTGGTAACAATCAACTACCAATATGATTTGATGAGAAGAACTGGTCAACTCTTGGTTTTCTTCCTAAAAATCTATAACCCTAGTCCAAACACAAGGAAAAACTAACCCAACTTGAGGGGCATTCTACAGGACACCTGACCAGTACTTCTCAAAACTGTCAAGGTTATGAAAAACAAGGAAAGACAGAGGAACCGTCCCAGACTAGAGGCTAATCAGACCTGATGACTAACTGAAGTATGGTGTCCTAGAGTGGGTCCTGGAAAAGAAAAATGCCACTAGTGGGAAAACTACTGCAAGTCAAATAAAGTCTACAGTTGCATTAATAGAACCAACCAATATTGGCTCCTTAGTTAACATTAGGGATAAAGTGTGTATGAGAAGCCTCTATACTATCTTTGCAACTTTTTGATAAATCTAAAATTATTCCTAGGCAAGTTTTTAAAAATCTGAACATAAAAGCTACTTCTACTGATATCTGTACATTTATGATAATGAATTAAATATTTTACAAAGACATTCCGACTCTGTCCTCTTGAGAAAGCCAAGGTTGCCAAGAAAAGCCATGAATCTATTGTAAGTTTAAAGCTACCTGGTCAAACATTGCTGACTGGAGTTTGCTTACTTAGCCCTAAGGGACACACTTGCTTTGTTTAATAGATGACATCTGTTAGCAGAAGAGTGCCATCATCTCAGTTGGGGAAGCCATCAAGTTCTCAGCAATGACATATATTCAAAGTTCGGAAATGTGATCCTTTTTCCAAAACCTATTTTAGTTCTTCTCAGTTCTGCCTGTAATGATTTAAAAAGAACCATTTCTCCTGGTATTGTCTTTCTCCGACTTTCCAAGTGGTTTATCTTAATAACTTTGGCCATAGGTTACCCAGAAGACAGACATAGCTTGGGCTAGAGAAAGTCAACAGCCAGTGGTAAGCAAAGAATGGTAGAGGGACACAGCTGAGCTTTCCAAGGGGCTGAAGAGACTTTCAGAGGCAGCTAAAGTTCTGGGATTTGCTCTTAAATATGAGTTAATAATTTTCAGCATAAACTGAGCTCTATAAAAGACAGTTTCTTGTATCTTGTTTTTCCATCTTTTTTGATTCCACAGTTAAAGACTTAAAAAAAAAACACCCAACAATATCAAGAACAATTCTGTTAAGGCCACTATTAGTAAAAGGTTTATGGTGTTTTAAAAATATCCCCAAATCTATTATGAAGAGCAAGTACTAAGGAGTAAATACCAAAGCATAATAGATTATATTGCTCTGCTGTATGTTAAACGACTCGTCATTTTGTCTTACTGAATCCATCTCTTCTCCAGCAGACAAAGATTATAGCAAAATATGGCATTTGTCATGAGTGGTTCATAAAATGGGAATGGCTATGCTACGCTTCTGAATTTTGTTCATGTCATCTTGTAGGCACATTATATTAATACTAGATATCCTAGTTTTGCTTCCTAAGAGGTCCCAGCAGATGGTTCCAATTTTACAAGAGAAACAGACATGCCCCTGTCCTTGTATCTAGTCCCATCATTCATAGAAATGTGGCTTATTCGTTATGTTTCAGTGGGTTATGGAAAAACTGTATATTATGTGTTAATTAAAAGGGCAAAAATAAAAGATCTTTCTGGGCATATATGTATATTTTAAATTTTACAGAAAACAAACATACTTCTAAGTGAAAACTTCACCATATTTCCAAATAAGATAATGTTGAACATGCCTTATCATGAATTTCACATTTGACCTTATTTTTTGGTAAATACAGTTGTGAAAATTGAGTCATACTCTCTCTTTTAAAAATTCTCCCCTTAACATGCACCGCTTTCTGTGACTGGCCAAGACAACGTGGCACACTGAGGCAGCAACGTCTGGGAAGATAACCTGCATTTGTTTCTTTAGTTTTAATGTCAAAGTAAGCTCTTAAAATAATCCTGTCACAAAAATAAGGCAACTCTAGGCTGTAAAAACATGAGCTCTTTGTCAAAGGTTACGTTCTTCTGTCCTCATCTGTTGTCACCATTTGTCAGCATCTTCTTCAAAGGTCGGTTTTTTCTTCATAGCGACACGTACATGCGGCTCGCTGGCTGTCCAAGTACGGCTTACAGCCTAAGTGTATGACGCTGTCAAACAAGAGTTCCACGGTGGTTTCACAGGCTGCAGAGTAAGAAAGGGCCATCACTGCTGGGCAACTACAAAGCATCACTCACTCTTCACAGGTATTACATGTTTCAGCCCAGTGTCAGGCACAGCCTTGGCGGGCACTTAAACCTAATTTAGGTGAACATCTTCCCAAGCTCTCGCAAACTAGTCACATAAACATACATACACAGATTTTCCATTTCAGTCTCTTCACCTGTATGTTTTCTTTGCATGCAACTATTCAACCCAACTTTTTGTACCAGACAGTGAGTCTCTCTCAGTAGCACTGATAAGCTCATCGCTGTTAATTTCCCTTGCATCTGAAAAATACCATTCACAGAGATGCCTGATAACACTCTTCAGTTTGCGCTTTAAGGGGTGACTTTTAGGTGCAGGAAAAAATGAAGGTTAAAAATGGAGAAACCTCAAAACATTTAATGATAAGCCAATAGCTTTTAATGGTCACACATTTAAGATGCTTAAAAGTAAATGGACCTCAGTCTCTCTCTCTGACCAATATACAAATTTGGCTTGGGAGGGGAGACACAGGAATACAAGGTGTTTCTTCTCTGGTGGGGAGTCTTAATTTTTTGAAAGACTGTAAGAGGAGACAATAGATTTAACTTTTCTTATTCTAAGAAACCTAGAGTACCCAGGTAAGATGATCTGTTTTTTTTAACTTTTTAAAAAAAATTTTCTTGGCTGCACTAGGTCTTCATTTTTGTGCACCGGCCTTCTCTAGTTTCAGGGGGTGGGGGCTGTGCTTTGGTGTGGTGCATGGGCTTTTCTCACTGCACTGACTTCTCCTGTAGCCCAGAATGGGCTCTAGGGCAAGTGGGCTTCTGTAGTTGTGGCTCGCAGGCTCTTGAGCGCAGGCTCCAGCTGTGGCACATGGGCTTCATTGCTCCATGGCATGTGGGATCTTTCCTGACCAGGGACCGAACCTGTGTCACCTGCAATGGCAGCCGGATTCTTATCCACCGCACCACCAGGAAAGTCCAAGATTATCTTAATATATTATACTTACAGAGACGTGGCACAGAGTGATTTTTAGTTATTCAAATACTTCTAGTTTCCAACATTCAGGTTAAGAAAGAAACTTTTCATTACAAATTCTTGGCATTTTTCAAAGTTTTCAAAAGACTGCGCCATTAAGGAATACAACTAACTGCAGAAGTGTAAAGGTTATGGTTATTAAATAGGAGATTGCAAGGAAATTGGTTTCATCATTTAACATTAGTATATCCTTAGGTAAGAAAGCAGAAATGACATGTATCTGTGCTTCAGCTGGACTAGTTTACCTTAGCCAAAAGCATTTAAAGGGATTCAGAGAGAGTGAGTTCAAGCTTCACTTGGAAGAGATTTCCTCCTTCTTATTACTTCCTAGTTATTATTAATACTAGGATTTCAAAATCCCAGACACCTATGAGTCTTGGGGAATACTGGAGTAGACAGATGTATGTAACTTGGGACAAGTTACTTCTTTCTGAACCTCAGTTTCCTTCCTTTAGAAAGGAAGGAATGCCAACTAGTACTTTGGGTTTCTGTGAACATCAATGAAAACATGTCTCAAGTATCTAGCACGGTATCTTATGGAAAGTGCTTAAAAATGGCAATTTCCTTTCCTGCCTCTTCTTACTGCCTTTCCTCTTGTTATTTCAGTGTATGGTATATTCTTTGGCTTGTCAGTGAAAAAAAAAAATCTTGTTAACTACTGGTATTTGTAGAGCAATGTGTATTTCTACAAATAGCTCATTTTACCCTTATGACAACTCTATAAAATGGGTATTATCATTCTCATTCTATAAATGAGGATGCTGAAACACCTAGTCATCTTTGCTGACTCTGCAATAACCATCACCATGAATATGACTACATGTTGAGCCCCGTGAGTCCACTTAGCAAATCACTGAGCCTGCGGGTGGTTTTGAGGACCTTCCCAACACAGACACATATAAAGAGACAGAGTTAAGATGCAAATCTTTGGGACTTCCTACTCCAAATCCACTGTGCTATACTGGGAACTTCAATGGATCCAGAGTTTCAGACTTCAGGCTCTGGATAATTAGGACTATACGTAGGGCACAAGATCTTGGATGAATTCTTCTCTGCCTCACACCTTCCTCCCAAGGTTTCCTACCACTTCTTGCTTCCGTGACTGTAAATCATTTTAGATGACAAAATCATCTCAGGAAATTGATAGGACGATGTCACAACAGATAAGGTAATACAGAGTGAGAGATTTCTGTCAGTGAATCTTATGCTCACACACACTCACCCCCATCGCATGAAATCAGACTTACCCTGCACGTGCTGAGCCAGCCCCAGTGTTTTCTGCACATCTCGGCAGATCTTGGACAGGCAAGACTGAAACGCCTCATCACAGTCGTTTTTGCTTTTGCCGCAGGTCTCATAGCACCGGTCGTGTTGGTTGCAGCACTTTGTCAGGGAAGGGATGCCGATGTTAAGCTGAAAGCGACATTTGGATGGATTATTGTTGATGAAATTCAACCTTTCTCTGAAGTAGTGCATTCAAAGAGACTTAGAAATAAAAGACAATACTGTTGTATAGATAATTTTCAAAATTTGCTTCTGCCTCCAAATGTTTTTCAAGTTAAATCTCTCTCCATTACTCTCACTCGCACCCCCGTGTTACTGCGTCCTCTCCCTCGAAACCATGCCCCAAACCTCCCTATTCTGCCGTGTTAGAGTATTCGCAGTCTTCTGTTGGGAGCCAACACAATTTCCAAGACATAAAACATAGTTTTAAAAACAAAAAGATAAGCTAAGAACTTTTAGAAGATTTTTGCAGGGGCTACACAAGTATGATTTTTGGCTATTCCAAAGTATTTTGTGCCTCCTCCCTCAATACAATGTCAGTGTTAGTCACTCAGTTGTATCCGACTCTTTGCGACCCCAGAGACTGTAGCTCGTCAGGCTCCACTGTCCATGGGATTCTCCAGGCAAGAACACCAGTGGGTAGCCATGCCCTCCTCCCGGGGATCTTCTGACCCAGAGATAAAACCTGGGTCTCCTGCATTGCAGGCAGATCCTCAGTACAATGTCCTTTTTACGAAATGTCACTGACAACGTCTAAGCTCCCACAACTGAATTTTTTTTTTTTGGTTTTTATGTTTAATCTTTAAGAGTTCACCAATTCCCTAAAGATGTGATTATTCCTTTGAATTCATAGTTATCTTCAACTATTTTAAATAATTTTATATGCAAAACCTTTGTGTCCAGGAATCACTTTCATAAAACACGTTCTTCCCATAATACTGGCTCAGATTCAGCCTCCCTTATAACATCTACAGGATTAGAAAAAACAAAATGTGACTTTTACATTATTTGGTTTCATTAGAACTTACTGTGTTTTAGCTATAAAAGATCAAGAGCGTTACAAAGACTACCAATCATAAAACTTACAAATAAAAAATAATATTTACATGAACACCAAACAGTGGGGAGCCACATCCATTCGGTGGGGAGGGTTTATATCCATAACGTGGGAAAGGCTTAGATCCTATAAAATACAAATGTTATAAAAATTAATTTTCAAATACGTTAGAAAATACACATAGTTTACAATATGCTGGACTAGTCTTGGAAATATTTACTGTTTGATGCTGACATAAGTGAATATGTGTTTATTTGGATGAGCATTAAAAATGCTGATTTGTCTACCAAATTATTTTTACTTCTCAAGCAAAATATGTACAAATGTATACATGTACACATAGATGGCAGTTCATAAAGTGTTCTGACAGTTTATTTGTAATCCTACACCATACGCACATATAAATCCTTATTCTGAACATCTATTTCAGAGCTTTCAGGCCAGACTGGGTCCACATGTATGAAACATAAATCCAACCTGTTTTCCTGCACATTCTAATGCTTCTATTTTTAGGTTAAAATCTACAGGGCAAGAACTGTGTCTTACCAACCTCAGTCACTGTTCCACTGCACACAAACCTCCATAACTACTGTGTGTGTGTTAGGTGCTCAGTCTTCCGGGATTCTTTGTGACCCCATAGACTGTAGCCTGCCAGGCTCCTCTGTCCATGGGATTTCCCAGGCAAGAATACTGGAGTGGCTTGCCATTTCCTCCTCCAGGGGATCTTCCCAACCCAGGGACAGAACTGGCATCTCCTAAATTGCAGGCCGATTCTTTACCACTGAGAAACAACCTGAATTGTCTATCAACAGATGAATGGATAAAGATGTGGTACGTAAATACAATGGTATATTCCTCAGCCATAAAAAAGGATGAAATAATGCCATTTTCAGCAACATGGATGGACCTAGAGATTATTATACTAAGTGAAGTAAGACAGAGAAAGATATATCACTTATATCTGAAATATAAAAGAATGGTACAAATCAATCTATTCACAAAACAGAAAGACTTACAGACTTAGAAAACAAACTTATGGTTACCAAATGGAAAAGGTGTGGGGGAGGGATATACTACGTGGTCGGAATTAACATATACATACTACTATATATAAAATAATCAACCCACACCTATGGTACAACACAGGGAACTCCACTCAATATTGTGTACTAATCTATATGGGAAAAGAATCTGAAAAAGAGTAGATATATGTACCTGTATAACTAAACATGAATGTGAGAGCTGGACCATAAAGAAGGCTGAGCACCGAAGAACTGACACTAGCATGAAGAACTAGCACTGTGATGCTAGAGAAGACTTGAGAGTCCCTTGGACTGCAAGGAGATCCAACCAGTCCATCCTAAAGGAGATCAGTCCTGAATATTCACTGGAAGGACTGGTGCTGAAGTTGAAGCTCCAATACTTTGGTCACCTGATGTGAAGAGCTGACTCATTGGAAAAGACCCTGATGCTAGAAAAGACTGAAGGCGAGAGGAGAAGGGGACAACAGAGGATGAGATGGTTGGATGGCATCACTGACTCAATGCACATGAATTCAAGGAAACTCAGGGAGACAGTGATGGACAGAGAAGCCCTCATACTGCAGGTCATGGGGTCACAAAGAGCCAGACACAACTTAGCGACTGAACAACAACAGTAACTAAATCACTTTGCTATACACCTGAAACTAACACAGCACTGTAAAGCAACTGTACTCAAATATAAAAATTTTTTTTTTAATGTAATAAATAAAAGTTTGAAAAAAAGGTTAATTTGATATGGACACCAAGATTACAACTGTATTAATACTATTTTAAATGTTGTTATAAATGGTATTATAAGCTGCTGAATGTTAAAAGTACTTAGCATTTCTACTGGGTGCCAGTCTTTACTAACTGCTATGAATTAAACTCTGTCTCCCCACACCCAAATTTATATGCTGAAGCCCTAACTACCAATGCATTTGGTGACAGGTTCGTTGAGAGGTAATTATGTTTAGATGAGGTCACAAGGGTAGGACCCTCATGACGGGATTGGCACCCTTTTAAGAAGAGGCCCCAGAGAATTTGCTTTCCTTGCACTCCCCACCCCACCATGCATGGTCTGCAAGCCAGGAAAAGGGCCCTCACCATACAGAACGGTTGGCTCAACCTTGATCTCAGGCTTTTTAGCCTTCAGAACTGTAAGAAATAATCTCCTGCTGTCTACATCACCCAGTCTGTGGTATTTCATTATATCAACCTGAGCAGACTAATACACAGTACAAGCAAAAACTCAACAGCAGAAGAAACATGAGAGTCAAACCAAAAATCCATAATGTGTTGTGGTCACTGTCTCCTAAAATACATGAGCAGTAATTACAAATTATAATTTCTCGGCATTTTTGTACAGAAAGCTAAGGGGGAAATGGGCTATGAATAAGAGTTTTAAAAACAAACCCAACCCACTTCGCACAACTACACACAAACACTATTCATTGATCTCATTTTTTAACTCAACAACTGCTCTCAATCTTGATGCTTTACATTTTATCATCTGTATGGGCAGTTGAAATCTAAAGATCCACCTGGACTAAGACAATGATAGTTCTTTTCTGCATATTTTTCTTAATTTGGTTTAAATATTTTCAACAGACCAATGTCTTTCACCTGAAAGACACCGAAACAGATGAGAGACATAAGGGGAAAGCTATTGGGTCTCAAAAAGCTCTTGCTACTGCATTTTGTAAGCACAGTACAGAACTCCAACCTGTTTTCTCAAACACTTGGGAGTTTAAATTTCTGATTATTAATCTTCAAAAAGCCCTAATGCCACTTTTCCCCCCTAGTACACTCACTCTCCTATTTTCTTCAATCTCCAATACTTCCTGGGGAAATGGCAACCCACCACATTATTCTTCCTAGGAAAATCCTATAGACAGAGGAGCCTGGTGGCCTACAGTCCATGGTGTTGAAAAAGAAATCAGACATCACTGACCGATTAAACAACAACCAGCATTCTCATTCCCACCTTCTCACTCAGCGGATTACCTCTATTCCTACTTTACCGAGAAAACCAAGGAATGAGAAGAGAACTTGCACATTACCCCAACCGGTATCTGTGCACATATGCTACACCTTTGTTGCAATTAATAGAAATATGCCATCACTGCTCCTGCCAATCTATTTATGTACTAGAACTCACTCCTCAGAGTTCTTTCCACAGAGCAAAGATAAATAAATGCAACAAATCTGTGCCCTTTAATTCAACACCTCTTCCGCCAGTAAGTCTTTTTTTTTTTTTTTGAAGACTCCCTTGACTTCTTTATCGCTGCTGCTAAGTCGCTTCAGTCGTGTCCGACTCTGTGCGACCCCACAGACAACAGCCCACCAGGCTCCCCCGTCCCTGGGATTCTCCAGGCAAGAACACTGGAGTGGGTTGCCATTTCCTTCTACACATGCATGCATGCGAAGTCGCTTCAGTCGTGTCCGACTCTGTGCGACCCCACGGACAGCAGCCCACCAGGCTCCCCCGTCCCTGGGATTCTCCAGGCAAGAACACTGGAGTGGGTTGCCATGTCCTCTGTTGCTACATCCCTTAATTACCATGCTCCTCTAGTTTTGAGATTTGTCTGTTTCTATTTGGTTCTGATAAGGTCACTCACACTTCAATATATAGGAAAGGTTGAAACACTGTTCCAGGAAGACTTCTCGAGTAACAGGAATTAAAGAACAATTTTCACTATGTAAGAATCATTAATTTGGTGATTTGGAACCTATGAGTCCTATGAGCAGCACTTCTAAATACTTAGTAAGTACAAAAAGATTTTCACTGAAACAAACCATTTCCTAAATTCTCAAGTTCATTTGTGTTTTTTAGACTGGAAACTTTGCTCTAGACAGTAAATTTAGTGAGGATGTGGAAGAGGTTTAAGTAATTGGGAAGATTAAAACAATATTTTTAATAAGAATAGTATCCATGGATCCTAGAGATGGTCACACTGAGTGAAGTTAAGTCAGACAGATAAGGAGAATTAGACACCCCTTATATGTGAAATCTAAAAAGAAATTATACAAATGAATTTATTTACAAAACAAACAGACTCACAGACTTAGAGAACAACATATGGTTGCTGGGGGAAAGGGTAGGGTGAAGGAACAGTCAGGGAGTTTGGGATGGTCATATACACATTGCTATCTTTAAAATGTCTAACCAACAAGGTCCTACTGTACAGCGTGGGGAACTCTGCTCGATGTTATGTGGCAGCCAGGATGGGAGGGGTTTGGGGGAGAATGGATACGACTACATGTACAGCTGAGTCCTTTTACTGTCCACTGCAATCTATGGCAACACTGTTAATCGGCTATACTCCAATATACAAGTTAAAAGAAAAAGAATAGCATCCATTTAACTTCAGAGATATTTCAAATGTAATAAAATAAACTCTAGAACCCTTGACTCACAATCAATTTATGAAGACTGATCCTTCCAACTTTTCCTATCTCAGTAAATGGCAGCTACATCCTTCCTTTGGCTCAGGCCAAAACCTACAGAGTCACCCTTGCCTGGCCCTTCAATTCTGGTGCCTTACGCGTGTTGTTCCCTCTGCCTGGATTGTTCTTTCCCTAGCTCTTCACAGCGTCACCTTCACTGTTTCAGACTTCTAACGTAGGATCTCATCAGTGAGGCTGGCCCTGAACCTGTTTAAAAGAGTAAACTAACCGCCTCCCAGCACCACCACTGTTGGCTCCTTGCTGTAGTATTCTGGAAGTTCTGGTCCACTTCAGACCTCCACACACCGCAGACCTGGCTTATTTCACTTAGTCTTTAGTTCACTGTCTCTCTGCACCAGAATGTAAGCTCCAAGGACAGGGATTCTGTCAGTTTTATTTCACATTTTCCCCCCATTTTCCCGTCGGTTTTGTTCACTGCCAAATCTCCAGTTGGTGGAACACCTAACACAAACCAGGCACTCAAATATTTGTTTAATGAATGGGGATGACTAAGTCAAACGGTGATGTCTGTCTCCAGAAAAGCAACCATTTAATCTTCAAGCTACTCTCTTATTCCTCCTAACAAGCTGTAAGAGGACAAAAACACCTTTCCTGATCGAACACTGGTAGTAGCATTCAGGCATACATTTAAGAAGGAATGATATTTAGCAGTTCATAGCATACAACATATAATTCATTCTTTACCTCCATTAACAGAAAACCAGAAATTATGACTACATGTTAATCATGCTTTCACGTGACAGAGTCCCTTTAAATTCACCTATGTATAGTTCAGTTTTACCACTAAAGTCACCAAGTTGCCTTTTACTTTGAGCTGCCAAACATGAAATTAACTAGGCCCCACACTTGTCCACATGTATGGGAAACATGGTCTCCCAATTACTCTTAGCATTCTGAATTTCAAAAAGGAAGCCCAAATACCTCATCTGAACTATTATAGCATTTAGGCATTCAAAAAAGTCAAGGGCTTCAAATGAAAGATCTCCGCCTGAAAAACCAGTTATCACCAACAATGACACCAAACAAGTTCTCAGATTCAAACAGAATTCAAGTTTAAAAATATGAAAAAGTAAATCAAAAGAATAATATTAATAGCAACCAACAATGAGAAGGCAGGTCACTGACATCTAAGGAAAGAATATTCCCGTCAAGTATTGATAGAATCGTTCTGGAAGAGTCAATCAGAGCTCTTTCTCAACAATAAAGTACACCAAAGTCTGTACAAAGGTCGCAATTTATTTTCTGTAGCTTTAAAACTTGAACCAATTCTTGAAAAAGTTATCATAAAACAGCATGACTTGAAAATTCTCCGTATGTTTTGCACAGTCAGCTAATTTAAAGGCCCTAAAATCAGTGTGTTTCACTCCATCCCTATGAAACGCATGTCACTAAGTTCTTAGGCAATCGTCACCATGCAATTGCAAAAAAAAAAAAAAAAAAGTAATTCAGCAGCAATGAAACAGAATGCAGAGTACTCTCAGGCGACCTCTCACAGTCTAAAAGCAGTGGTGTGAACTTGTCAGCAGGTTGCTCAATCACAAGAACGGCAAGATCCTAGCGGTGCTTACGTTTTTCCAGGGCCAGAAGGACACCGACAAGGTTCGCCGGGCATCTCACACCTCCACGACCCCAGTCCCCAACAGCCCCGAAAGCATGGGCCCCCTCACCGTCATTGCACTTGTACTGGCAGAGCCCGTCCTCGCCTCCCAGGAGGTCCAAGGCGGCGTTCAGGTACATGTCAATCTTGTGAACGCCGTTCCGGATCGTCTTCAGGGTGGCCCGCCAGTCGGTGGTCTGGGCTTGCTCCTGGCACCTCCCAGCGGTGGTCAGGAATAGGACGAGGAGGACGGCGAGCAGGGCCATCCGCGCAGCGCCAGGCCGCGCCCGGCCCACCCCACGGAGACCTCAGGGCGCCCTAAGCAGCGGCGCGGGTCGGGGGCTAGGCAGCGGCGGCCGGCTCCATGCCCACGCCCCCAGCCGGCCGGGGAGGCGGGGCTCGCCGCGCGCAATGAGCTCTCCAGCCGGGAGACCGTGCCGCGGCAGAGACGCCGGGCGATGCGCACGCGCGGGCCCGGGCCGGCCCTGCGCTGTGCGCCTGCGCGGAGCGTGGTGCGTCAGAGGCGGGGGGCAGGTGGGAGCGCAGCGTGGCCCCGGCTGCCTCGCGGCGCACGTGGTGCTGCGGAGGCAGTACCACCTGGTGCTCGTTAGTACTACCTTAGGGGTTAGTTATACTAACTAAATACCACGCCGGGCCCCATATCCCAGACAGGCTGATTAAGTTCATCCCGGCGTCAGTGGGCATTGTTATATTTTGAAAGCTCTTCGGGTATTGAAGGGTGTAGCGAGGTGGTCACCCCCGTAACGTCCTCTGACTTGGGGGCGTGCAGCCCGGCCATCCCGAGCCGAGCGACAAGCTATTCAGGGTGTAGACAACGTCGGAGAAACGAGCCCCCGGAGTCCCTTGCAGAGAGCGTTGAGAAAGGACCAGCTGAATCTGGGGCTTGAAACCGTGATTCTGCGTGATACGTGGAATGAGAGTTCAGATTCGCACCCCCCGGCCTCGGGTTCTCGCCGGTCTTCTTGGACTGCGGTGGCCGCGGTTGGGGGATAGGGACTGGAACATGTTAACCCAGGCCCTGGTGGTGGCTGGCTGACAAATGTAGATGCTGGTTGAGAAATTTTAGAAGAAAATGGTTTGACAGTAAAAACATGAGTTTTCTTCCGTAATAGGGAAGAAGCCATACTGTAAACTTGAAAGCATTAAAAAAAAAAAAGGCACAGTTTTCCTACTGAAGATGATATGTTGTACCTTCATGGCTCCAGTGACGTTTCCCTGTATTTTTAATCCCAGCGCAGTACAGAATTCTGAAATAACAATTGGAGTAGTTTTTACCAGAGCTATAAATAACTAGTTATTTTAGTATCCTGGCAGTTTCCAAGAATTTTACAATAAGATCCAGAGTAATACTGCAAGTGTTGAGAATGGATGTGTCCTTTCTATAAGAATTACACCAATAATTCTAGTTTGGCGTTATTGTGTTTGTTAAGCTTCGTGAGTTTGTAATAAATGTGCAATGCACAGCTTGTAAGAATTGTATGCGTGTCTTTATTTAGAGCTTACTCTGTGCCAGGCACTTCGCGGACTTGCTCTCTTACACTCAAAACAACGCTTTTCAGGAATACAGCCTTTGGACAAATTAGAAACAGATAGGGGCGTCTCTCCCGGACTGACCTATGAGCCTAACCCCAGGCTAGGTTACTGGGAAGCAGCCAGGCTTAAGTCTGCCTTCAGATGCTCAGCCAGGAACCTCAGGGTTGTGATCCTTCCTCCACAGTGAAGGAAGAGGAGAAATGTGCTTGAGGGATATTATCCTTTTTATAGTAAAGGAGTTGAAGTGCCTACAGAGAAGTCATGTGATAGGATCCAGTCAAATCAAGGCCTCTTTCACAGCAATTGCGGAATGAGAGCACAGAGTCCTAACCACTGGACCTGCAGCAAATTCCCAAGACCTTTTTCTACCATCACAAGATTCCAATGATTTTTTTTTTCTTAATTTTTGGACAGCACATTTCAACAGCTGGGAAAAGGAAACATAGAGTTTTTGGTTTTTTGATCTGCTTTCTGGAGCTTTGGGTTTCTCATCTCTAAAGTGTGGATGTTATCCTACAGTACCTCTGAGGTCCCACCTAGCTCCCTTGACCAGGCTTGGTTCTTTCAGAGAAACTCTGTGGTATGGGCAGAGAAGGCAATGGCACCCCACTCCAGAACTCTTGCCTGGAAAACCCCATGGATGGAGGAACATGGTAGGCTGCAGTCCGTGGTGTCGCTAAGAGTCGGACACGACTGGGCGACTTCACTTTCACTTTCCACTTTCATGCATTGGAGAAGGAAATGGCAACCCACTCCAGTGTTCTTGCCTGGAGAGTCCCAGGGACGGGGGAGCCTGGTGGGCTGCCATCTATGGGGTCCCAGAGAGTCGGACACGACTGAAGTGACTTAGCAGCAGCAGCAGCTGTGGTATGGGAATAAGTCTTCACAAAGAAAAGACAAAATATAGCAATGTTACCTGGTTCCAGCACTGTTATAAATGAGCCAAGTCTCTCCTTTATACCTTTTCTGTATACATATTCATGGTTCAGTTCAGTTCACTTGCTCAGTTGTGTCTGACTCATTGCAACACCATGAATCACAGCACGCCAGGCCTCCCTGTCCATCGCCAATTCCCAGAGTCTACCCAAACCCATGTCCATCGAGTTGGTGATGCCATCCAGCCATCTCATCCTCTGTCGTCCGTATTCCTGGTAATCTCACCTAATTTCTTATACTCTAAATGCAACCTCAGGTTTCCCAAGTGGCTCAAAGAATCCACCCACCAATGCAGGAGACATGGGTTCAATCTCTGGGTTGGGAAGATCCCTTGGAGAAGGAAATGGCAAGGTATTCTTGCCTGGGAAATCCCATGGACAGAGAAACCTGGTGGGCTACAGTCCATGAGGTTGCAAAAGACACGACTTGGCAACTAAACAAAAGCAAATACAGCTCCAGCTCTGCGAATTCAGATTTTGTCCTCTGTCTGAGCTTTCCTTAGGGGTTAAATCCTCAAATTCCATTTTCTCGGGCTGATAGAGATATTCTCTTTTTTTCTCAAACAAATCTTCTTTTCTACTATGTACTTCATGTAAATAACTGCCATCTTCCCAGAAAACAAGACTCTTAAGTTTTATTTTCACTTTCTCTTCATAGTCAATCATTAGATACTTGTTCTGCTGTAGTGATTCCAAGATTTACTTTTTCCTCTCAATTCCTGCTATCAGATACCAGAGTATGGCATTGATCACCTGATCAGCTACATAATCAGGGCTGATCATGCAAGGCTCAGCACAAAATAAAAATCCAGTTCTCCTTATTCAAAAATTATTAAGAATTTCAGGGTGTTAATGGGAGATATAGTCTGGAACCCTTCTGAGTCCAGGGCCTTGTACAAACACACAGAATGCTTTCTCATGAAGCCAGGCCTGATTGATAATGTCATATAACTCCTAGGTGACCCACTTCCATCTTTTCTTCTAACTAGTTAGCATAGAATGTTTGAAAAGAGCCTCCTTTACAGGATCAGTTCAGTTCAGTTCGACTCAGATGCTCAGTCGCGTCCGACTCTTTTTGACCCCATGAACTGCAGCATGCCAAGCCTCCCCATCCATCACCAACTCCTGGAGTTTACTCAAACTCATGTCCATTGAGTTGGTGATGCCATCCAACCATCTCATCCTCTGACGTCCCCTTCTCCTCCTGCCCTAAATCTTTCCCAGCATCAGGGTCTTTTCAAATGAGTCAGCTCTTTGCATCAGCTGGCCAAAGTATTGGTTTCAGCTTCAACATCAGTCCTTCCAATGAACACCCAGGACTGATCTCCTTTAAGATGGACTGGTTGGATCTCCTTGCAGTCCAAGGGACTCTCAAGAGTCTTCTCCAACAGCACAGTTCAAAAGCATCAATTCTTCAGCACTCAGCTTTCTTTATAGTCCAACTCTCACATCCATACATGACCACTGGAAAAACCACAGCCTTGACTAGGTGGACCTTTGTTGGCAAAGTAATGTCTCTGCTTTTTAATATGCTGTCTAGGTTGGTCATAACTTTCCTTCCAAGGAGTAAGCATCTTTTAATTCCATGGCTGCAATCACCATCTGCAGTGATTTTGGAGCCCCCAAAAATAAAGTCAGCCACTATTTCCACTGTTTCCCCATCTATTTGCCATGAAGTGATGGGACCGGATGCCATGATCTTAGTTTTCTGAATGTTGAGCTGTAAGCCAACTTTTTCACTCTCTCTTTCAATTCAAAAGGCTCTTTAGTTCTTAACTTTCTGCCATAAGGATGGTGTTATCTGCATATCTGAGGTTATTGATGTTTCTCCCAGCAATCTTAATTCCAGCTTGTGCTTCCTCCAGCCCAATGATTCTCATGATATACTCTGCATATAATTTAAATAAGCAAGGTGACAATATACAGACTTGACGTACCCCTTTTCCTATTTGGAACCAGTCTGTTGTTCCATGTCCAGTTCTAACTGTTGCTCCCTGGCCTGCATACAGGTTTCTCAGGAGGCAGGTAAGGTGGTCTGGTATGCCGATCTCTTTCAGAATTTCCACAGTTTATTGTGATCCACACAGTCAAAGGCTTTGGCATAGTCAATAAAGCAGAAATAGATGTTTTTCTGGAACTCTATTGCTTTTTTGATGATGCAGCAGATGTCGGCAATTTGATGTCTGGTTCCTTGGCCTTTTCTAAAACCAGGTTGAACATCTGGAAGTTCACGGTTCACGTATTGCTGAAGCCTGGCTTGGAGAATTTTGAGCATTACTTTAATAGTGTGTGAGATGAGAACAATTGTGCAGTAGTTTGAGCATTCTTTGGGATTGCCTTTCTTTGGGACTGGAATGAAAACTGCTCTTTTCCAGTCCTGTGGCCCCTGCTGAGTTTTCCAAATTTGCTGGCATATTGAGTGCAACACTTTCACAGCATCATCTTTCAGGATTTGAAATAGCTCAACTGGAATTCCATCACATCCACTAGCTTTGTTTGAAGTGATGCTTCCTAAGACCCACTTGACTTCACATTCCAGGATGTCTGGCTCTAGGTGAGTCATCACACCATTGTGACTATCTGGGTTGTGAAGATCTTTTTTGTACAGTTCTTCTGTGTATTCTTGCCACCTCTTAATATCTTCTGCTTCTGTTAGGTCCATACCATTTCTGTCCTTTACAGAATACTTTCACCTAATCAGGAAAGCCTGTATTTATTGTGACAGACACTATTGGTTGCAAACCCATGGCTTCCAGATCTTTCCTGCTAGCAAATGA